CTGATGACTTTCAAGGGCTTGAAACCCATGCTGTACATTTCTGAGGTCCACAGGTCAGAACAGATGTGGGTCCAAAGCCATTTCTGGTGTCTACACAGCAGAACTGATGGGGGTCCACAGACATTTTTGGGGTCTACAGATCAGAGCTGATGGCTTTCAGGGCTGAAAAACCACATTATACAGCCTTGGGATCTACAGAGCAGAACTGATGGGGGTCCACAGCCGTTTCTGGGGTTCTACAACCCAGCACTTTCAGGGCTTCAAACCCAGCATCCACGTTTCTGGGGTCTACAGAGCAGAGCTGATGGGGGTCTACGGGCATTTCTGGGGGTCTGCAGGCATTTCTGGGGGTCTGCAGGCATTTCTGGGGGTCTGCAGGCATTTCTGGGGGTCTGCAGCCACTACTGATGACTCTCAGGGTCTGAAACCCACGCTGTCCATCCTCAGGCTCATTCCTGGGTCTAATTAACACAGCCCTGCCTGCCTTCCAGCAGCCAGCAGCGCACATCTCGTACTTCTAACGAGGGCAGAGGAGGCAGCAGGCACTGGGAAAGCTTCAACGTGCTGCGAAATCTGCTTTTCTGCTGGGAAAGGGACAAAAAAAAAACCCAACCAAACCCAAAAAACCCCTAAGAAAACAACACCACCATCATCAAACGAAAGGAAAACTGGGGGGGGGGCTTAAATCCGAGCTCAAGGAACGCCGCCATCCCCTTAAAAAGACAAAAAAAAAGACTCAGCACGGCTTGAAAGTGCCTGAAAACACAGCTGTGAGCTGAGCAAAGCAGCAGAGCGAGGAGATTTACACCGGTCAACACCCCAGTGAGTGAACTTTGCTTCCCAGCACCGACGCTCCCTTTCGCAACGGTGATTTCCGGAGCATCCATTGCTGGCATTGGATGCACGGGGTGGAATCTGGGCTGTCTGGCCAAAGGAGCTCATGGAGCTGCAGGACGTTTTGTCGGGACGCTGCTTTTCGTTTCCAATCGCAGCCATCCGTCCTTCTTGGAAAATTCGGGGCTGACGGAGGCATGGGTTGGGCTGGGTGTAGGAATAATGGGGTGCACAGATGGGGTTTTTCGGTGCAAAGCCACCTGCAGCCATTGCAAAGGTTTTGTGTGCTTCTTTTTAAAGGGAAAGCAAAGGAGGTGCTTCCTGCTCCATCTCCTGTGGCTGTGCAGAAGCCAGATGGGGAGCAGCTGATGCCCACAGAGCAGGTGGGGCAGAGGGGGGCACAGCCATCGCCCCCCCATCTCAGGGCATCCCTACGAATCCCTAAAGCCCAAACCTTCCGTAGGTACGACGCAAAGCCAGCAGGAAGCAATAAGCTGTGGATGAAAGGCAGCGCCGAGTTTCCGGGAGCTCCGAGCCTGGATGGATCCTTTCCTGCTCATTTTTCTACGCACGTCTTCGTAGAAAACCCCATTTTCAAATGCAAATCCTGCAGATTTCCATCCTTCAGTCGCTCCCCCAGCGTTGGATCCCAAATCCCCCCTCCATCCTGCCTATAAAGGATGCGCACAAGGCGCTGCTCAGCATCACATGCGCACACACACACACGCGTGCACACACACACACACACGCATGCATGCACACACACACGTGTGCACCTTCCCCTGCTGCCCCGCTGCCATCTCCCAACAACCAACAAGTCCAGATCTGCCTTCTTTCGGGCTCTTCCCTTCACCCTGCAGCAAAGCCGGGTGATGAGAGGAGCGGAGGAGGAGCGCCGTGCTCCTGTTGGAACACATCCCCGTGTTACACAAGCACCCAGCGACCCCCCGTTGCTGCACGAGCAGCTTAACACCAACAGGTGCCCCGAGTGGGTGCTGGGAGCCCTAAAAAAAGTGGGGGAGGGGGGATTTGGGACCCCCCCCCCCACACACACAATTTGGGATCCCTGGGAGAAGTGAAGGGAGCCAACAAAGCCACCCCACCT